TTCTCTGAGTGCTGCACAAACTGGTTGTCTGAGCAGCATTCAGCTCTGATGTATGTATTTTAGTCTTACAGTTTGGGCATCGTTTTAGTCAAAATGTGTCGGTTCTAAGTGGGGCATTTGGGAACATGCCATGCACTGTATTTATTCTCCCAATCTTTTATTATCCTGTGCCGTGTTTTAGCTGCCAAAACCATACACTCATGTTGGCATGAAACAATTATCCTGGTTTATATAGAACAGGCTTGGCAATAGTCTATCTCAATGAACAGTCACAGTGCTGAAAGATTCAGAGTCGTCTTTTCCTCTCCAAGCAACAGACTAAATTTCTTACAGCTGGATTCATGGTTTTAAAAAATAACAAGAGTAGAAATCAAGTATGGAAAGCAGGGTGTATACAAAGTACCTGTAAGGACTGGAAGGAAGTGAGAATGAGATGAAAAAAAAAAAAAAAAAGACGGCTAGTTAAGATATAAGCCAGTAATTTGGTTTCTAAACCCATGTGAAATTATAAATAATGTTTACTGTTGCCAGTTGGTGAACACAGAGATGTGTGGTTTTTTTACTTGCATGCAAAGCTATTCATTGTGGGTGAAGTACTTAACAAAAACATTCAATTGCTGGTGTGGGTATTCCACCAAAAATAAACCCAAACAAACACTGACGTATCATAAAAACACTTTTTTTCTGCAGAGACAAACATTCAGTTGCTGCTGCTATTCATGAACTCTAGAACTCTTAAAGCTGCCTGTTTAACTCACTTGAAATAATAATACTTTCTTCTAGGAAGTAACACAAACATCTCTGAAACTTAAGGGCTAGTGTTTACATATTTTTCATGAAAATGTAGTATATGGTGTAAACTTATCAACAGTGACTGTTACTTGCCCAGGCCTTGTGAACCAAAAATGCTGCATAGACAAGAGCCAAAGGTGAAGGCTAGGAAACTTCTCTTAAACTTAAAAAAATGTTAACTGGAAGTGGACTTAATCGTCAGCCAAAGAAAAATAATTTTGCAGTGATTAGCAAAGGTTAGAAAAGGCTTGTTTTTCATCCTTTTTTCCAGACAGCTTCACAAAGAGTTTTTTTTTTTAAATTGTACTCCATTCTGAAAGTAACTGCTGCTTTGTTATCAGAATGGTGATAGATTTTTATTACAGAAGGCTGGCCGCTATCACTACTTGAAATTCTCCAAATTGTTTCCACTGTGAGCAAATTCAGTCTTGATACAAGTCACATCTGCTTAAAAGTGAATAGCAGTTGCTTCTACCTTATACTGGCATCAGGGCTCACCTACAATCTCTAATTTTAAAAACTCACTTAAATCCCAGGATTTGGATAGCTTTGTGTGACTTTAAATCCAGAAGTATCCAATAGGAAATACTGAAATAAAAGCATTCAGCTTTAGTGGTTTCTGATAGAAACAGAGACATTTCCTTTCAGGTATAAATGTCTCCTGAACTGGGGGGAGGGGGGGGGAAAGCCTACGTTTTTCTACATACGGACGAAAAAATGCACCTAAATGCATTTTCCAAACAGCTCATGAGGATGGGTGGTGAGTGGAGAAGAGCAGGGAGGCGGCTGCCTGCATGAAATGCAGGCTTGGCTGTCCATGATGTATTAGGGATTAATTGCATGTTCAGCACCACAGCCGTGGCTGCACAGTGCAGGGGTGGCAGTTGCCCCACGGCTCCCACCACTGCTCCCAGTCCTTCCGAGCACAAGCTGGTTCAGCGGTCCCATCGCTCCGGCCGGCACTGATGGATTAATGGGAGGAAATGTTTATAGAAAGGTTCAGGTTTCCTAAGGGAATGGAATGAAAACTGCCCCCCCCAGCAGTGGTCAGCAAGCTCATGTCGTGGAGCAGTCTGAAGCTGCCTGACTTGCAGCAGTGCAAAGGCCTTTTCAAAAAGGAAGCTTGACCAGCGAGTGGTTCTGGGGATCAGCGAGGTGATTTCAACTGAAAGATTTCTAGAGAGGCAGCGTGAATGGGGCTAACTCTGAAAAGAACTTTAAATCAGTAGTTCATACACTGTAACTGTAAAAGGCTATGTTTGTGAGCACAGTGTCCGAATAAAATAGTGCCCTGGGAGAAAGTGCAACTGTTGCATACTGTGCTCAGTAAATGAAACAGTATTGCAGTGCAACCACAGCTACCATGATGGCATCCAGCTAAGGCATCTTAGATCTCTGTTCTTTAACTTAAATTTTAATATAGCCATAGTTTAAAGCAAAAGAAGGGTGATGACCCTAATTAATAGGCTGAAATCAGTGCGAGAGAAAAGCTGGGAACTATCATTTCACAGGTGTAAAATTCTGTTTGCCAGGGCACTTTCTGTGATTGTAGCAACACAGCTTGAGATCTAAGCATTCATTTCGGTTTAAAAAAATGAAATAGACCATTCCATTGAAGCTATCAGCTTTCAGATGACTGTGATGAGAAAGAATGTAGACTTTGGGCTAGCTATTAAGATTAAAGTAAGAAAAAAAGTAAAATTCACCTGAACAAAACTGGAGATAGCAAAGGTGCTGGGGGAGGAAGAAAAGCCTGTTTAAAACACTGCCCTTTGAAACCTATTGAAAAGGACCCAGTCCTTAGTGTTTCCCTAAAACACTCCACCCATCAAAGCGAGGATTTAATTTACAGCACTTGTAGCACCCTCCAGTTCTCAATCTCAGAGTCCCTTTGGACTGGGAAGAGAGCATTATCCTTATTTTCTAGATAAGGAAACTGGTCTATCAGCTTGCCCTCAGCAAGAGGCAGAGTCTGGAAGAAAACTTGGCTGGGATGCAAGTACCTCAAGTGACGGCAAACATTTGAAACCGTCTCCCAATGTGATCTCCTGTTGTGAAAGGCCAGTTTCAAATCACAGCTGAGTTTCTGGTCAGTAGCTTCACAGTGTTGTATTTGCCCAAAAGTCTCTTGCATCTCCCACAAAAAAGCCAGGGGGAAGACACCACTCACAAAGCAGCCCCCCTTCTATAACCTGCCGAGTGCTCAAAGACCAAAAGAACTTCATTGGAGCCCTTGTATTAAAAATTATTTATTTAGTGATCTGTACATGGGATGAAGCAGGGCCTCATACAGACCTTCAAAAAAAAAAACAACAAAAAAACCCCAAGTAAAAACATAAATACGTATTTTCTTACAAAAATGAGATTTACAAAATATACATACTGCACTTGTCTTACACATTTGTTTTTTTCTTTTGCTTCCACGTGCACATGACAATAGACAAAAACCCAAGCCCTGCATGTCTGAAATCGGATCTACTGAAGGATTTGGCTGATGGGCCCATTCCTCATGCCCAGACTTACTGGTACGCCCTCAGACAGCAGCAGTCCGCCCCCTCACCCTGAACAGGTTTTTTCCTTTTTAAATTTCATTCCAGACACTTTTTCCCCCCAAAAAAAGAAGAGCAGCTATAGGGTGGAGACTTGCTAAAAATCCAGGATTTCCTATTTTGTCCTTAGGCAAGAATATACACACATACATACACTTCTAAAAACAACCCTTCGGTGAATATAAAGGTAAAGCAGTATGCAAAAAATAAAAATATTAACAAGTCAACATAAGAATTTCAGAATAGAAAAATCTGTCACATTTAAAAAAAAACCGATGCATTTGATGATTAATTTTTTAATGCCTTTCCTTCCAAGATGTGATCACTGGAAACTTAACCAGCTTTATTTTAGCTGAAATGAGAAGGCTCCTCACTTGCAGTTATCGTTTGTTTTTAAACCCCAAGCCCAGCCTCTGTTGCACCCCGAGTCTTGGCCATGCAGTTTGGGGAATCTGAGGAGCAGGCAAAGGGTCCATCGTGAGCCAAAAGGATTCCTCCTGCCCCCAGAAGCCGGCTGTGAATTGACTTTACCTGCAGCGAGCTCACGGCAAAGCAGGAGAGAAAGCAGGTTTCCGGGAAGGAAAGCAAAAAAATCTTATCTTTACGTTACATATTTTAATGGCTCTTGTTTTGGCAGGTGCTCTCAGTTACGTTCTTCTTGCCCTCCAAATCTTGTGTTTCCTTCAGCTTAGAAAAGCGACCCATATTGAACGGTAGGAAAACATCCTGCCGCCTCCTTTTTCATAAAAGAAATGTTTATTTCTGCGAGCTCCTCGCATCCAAGGGTGAACCTCAACGACTTCTTTTTGTTAGTTTGCCCATAAAAACCGATCCCATGCTTATGCCTTTCTACATAGAGAACACTTTTGTTTCCCCCTTTGTCTCCTAGAACAAAGGCAAGGGGGAAAAGCCTTCTGCTGAAAAGCAACAAGTCATTTCTTTTCAGGGTGTGGAATAGCAACCCCCTTCTTCCTCACAGCAGCAAGAACAACAGGCCGAGGGCCGAAATTTCACTTTAAAACAATTACAAACAGGTATCAGTGAGGTAAGAAAGGAACTTGTGAGTTGACAGAACAGCGGCATCTCCCCAGCACACGATCCAGGCTGTCGCTGGCTGTGCGGTACTCACGTGATGGCTCCGCCGAGCTGGAAGGAGCAGGCAGCAAGCTCAGGCTCAGGAGTTGCACTGCCCGCGCTGCAGTTTGACCCCAGCAATTCAGAGAGGGTTTGGCTACTTCTGGCAGGGGCAGCTCAACAGGTCTGGCTTCCCCTCCCTCTCGTCCAAAGCACAAGGCAGGATCGTTTCAGTTGGGTTGGGGTTTTTTTCCTGCACAGGGATAGTGGGGAAAGTAAAGTTAAGGGGACTTCTTGTGGGTGAAGGACTCTCCCAGCCCTCCAGCAGCCTCTTTTTCAGTGCTCTTCCACTTAGCTGGGCATAAGCACCACTGGACACAGTCCATCTGAACCTTTATGCCAAGATGTTGGGTTTTGATTTTTTTTTTTTTCTCAAACCCTCTGGGAGGAAGAAAAAGTTTGAAAAAGCCTCTCTTCCTCCCTCTTCAGGGAGTCATTGCCTTTTCTGCCGAGTATCCCTCTCCTCCACATGTGTGCATGCGTGCGTGTGTGTGTCTGTGTGTGTGTGCCAGAGGGGATGTGGGGTCTCATACTGCTGTCTCGCCTTTGCTGCCGGTGCTAAGTCTGTGGTAGAAGCGTCGCCAGGACTGAAGGGTTTTGCCAGACCAGATCCAGAAGCCAGTTGTGATACCAACAATCATGGTCATGAGATACTTGATCATGAAGACAGTGAAGTCCGGGCTCATAGGGGCGAAGTGACTGGGACAGGGCACAGCGTAGGTTTTGCAGGTCTGGAGGAGCCACGTCTTCTCCCAGGTGCCACGGAAGGCCTGCTCATAGAAGTAACACGCCAAGACAATGGTGGCAGGCACCGTGTAGAGGACACTGAAGACACCGATGCGCACCATCAGCTTCTCCAGTTTCTCAGTCTTGGTGCCATCGTGCTTCATGATGGTGCGGATGCGAAACAAGGACACAAAGCCAGCAAGCAAGAAGGAAGTGCCAATGAAGAGGTACACAAACAAGGGCGCCAGCACAAAGCCTCGCAGCGAGTCCACGCTGTAGATACCTACGTAACACACCCCACTGAGTACATCCCCATCCACCTGCCCCATGGCCAAGATGGTGATTGTTTTGACAGCAGGCACAGCCCAGGCAGCCAGGTGGAAATACTGGGAGTTGGCCTCGATGGCCTCATGGCCCCACTTCATGCCAGCAGCCAGGAACCAGGTGAGGGACAAGATGACCCACCAAATTGAGCTGGCCATGCCGAAGAAGTAGAGGATCATGAAGAGGATGGTGCAGCCTTCTTTCTTGGTGCCTTGGGCCACAGTGCGGTAGCCATCCTCAGAGAAGCGCTCCAGACACACCACCCGCTCCTCCAGCAAGAAACCTGCCGCGTAGGCCACTGCCACCATGAAGTAGCAGCCCGAGAGGAATATGATGGGCCGCTCCGGGTAGCTGAAACGGCGCATGTCCACCAAGTAGGTGAGCACCGTGAAGAGGGTGGAGGCGCAGCACAGCACGGACCACACGCCCACCCACAGCCGGGCAAATCGCACCTCTGCCTCCTTGAAGTACATTAGCCCGTTGGGCCGGGATGGCTCGCAGGGGGCCCCGCAGTCCCGCTCCCCCAGAAACC